TTGACTATCACATGTACTGCAATACGCATTATTATAGGCAAAACTCTCAAATAAAGCCAAGAGCAAGAGATCCTCTCTTAATAAAGCGTAATGAAATAGCTTACCCCTCCAGCTGAAGAGGATAGCCTGACCGTTCCAAAAGTATTAAACCAAGTGTCTACACGTAAAAATCCAAGTTGTAAATTTTGAAATTACACCTGCGTTGAACCTTTGCAGTGAAAATCTGAATTGCAAATTTGAAATTTACAGACCTTCAAATTTTTCTGCGAAAACCCACGCTTTTCTTTCTACAATAACTCTCACTTGGATTTTTGCGGTTAGAATTAGAGTCAGTTGCACATTTTGAAACGCACATAACTAGAATTTTTGCCGGAAAAATTCGAGTTGCAAATTTTGAAGCGCATACAACTCGGACTTTTGCGGTAAAGATTCGAGTTGCAAATTTTGAAATGCTCACAACTCGAATTTTTGCGGTAAGAATTCGAGTTGCAAATTCTGAAACGCCCACAACTCGGATTTTTGCTGTAAAAATTCGAGTTGCAAATTTTCAAGCGCATACAACTCGGACTTTTGCGGTAAAGATTCGAGTTGCAAATTTTGAAATGCTCACAACTCGAATTTTTGCGGTAAGAATTCGAGTTGCAAATTCTGAAACGCCCACAACTCGGATTTTTGCTGTAAAAATTCGAGTTGCAAATTTTGAAATGCAAACAACTTGGATTTTAGCGGTAAAAATTCGAGTTGCAAGTTTTTGAAATGCACACAACTCGGAATTTTGCGGTAAAAATTCCAGTTGCTGATTTTGAAATCGAACAACTCGGATTTCTGCAATGAAATCCGAGTTGCAAATTTTGAAATGTAAACTGTAAAAAAAGTATATTGATGTCCATATATGAACCATGGTAATACGGTACGATCCGGGATAAGCTCAGCTCTTTGGGCCTTTATATTTTATCTGGAAAAGAGTCGCAAATTCATCTCTATTTGGCTGGAACACTTAGCGGCAAACCCTAAGAGTAAATGTAAGGGAGTAACCCACCCACTCCCCCCTGGATAAGAACGTTAACGTCATACCATCGCCTGGGCCCACAGAAGATGACACAGCTGGTGATGTTTGCTGAGTCGATGATGGTGCTATAGACTGTGATAAAGATGGCTCGTCTGCATTTGACACTGATGGCGATGCAGATTGTGACACCGAGGGTAACATAGAAGTAGACAGTGATGTTGTCACCGACGGTGAATTTGATGGAGACATGGAAGTGGACTCTGATGGCGACATCGATGTTGACATTGATGGCGACATTGACGTTGAGGCAGACGCTGAATTAGACATTGATGCTGATGGCGGCATGGATGTTGACATCGATGGTGGTGGTGACATCGATGTTGAAGGCGACTCTGAGTTAGACATTAAGGTTTGCGTAGATGGTGACATCGATGTTGACATTGATGCTGATGGTGACATCGATATTGACATTGATGCTGATGGTGAGATCGATGTTGACATTGATGCTGATGGCGACATCGATGTTGACATCAATGGTGGTGGCGACATCGATGTTGAAGGAGACTCCGAGTTAGACATTGAGGTTGACGTAGATGGTGACATCGATATTGACATTGATGCTGATGGTGACATCGATGTTGACATTGATGCTGATGGCGACATCGATGTTGACATCGATGATGGTGGCGACATCGATGTTGAAGGAGACTCCGAATTAGACATTGAGGCTGACGTAGACGGCGATACCGATGCTGACATTGACTGCGACATTGATGTTGACATGGACTGTGACATTGATGGCGACATTGACGTTGAGGCAGACGCTGAATTAGACATTGAGGCTGAAGTTGATGGTGACACCGATGCTGACATTGACTCTGACATGGATGGCGACATCGATGTTGAAGGAGACTTGGAATTAGACATTGAAAGTGAGATGGATACTGCTGAAAAAAAAAGTGGTGTTTTTACTTTCTCTCAAGCTACGGTTTGAATTCCACAGAGCAGACAAAGAACGGCTCAGAAACCTATACGATATGTGACGATCCAAGATCACTAGTTTACGTAAACCGTGGCGTTCATCACTGCAAAACTTTATTTACCACAGTGGTGCTATTAATCATAACCATAACAAAATTCTCTAATGTAATTGGTTATCAGCAGCCCTGATTTCAGCATTTATAGTAGGACATCACTGTTTGCCAACTTGCTTTTGTTATTGAAATTTCTAACGACAGAAACTAATTGTTACAAGAACCAATGCGATGAACAAATTAAACCACAATGTCTAAACAAGACATGCAATTGAGGATATTGTTTTACTAATTAATAAAATCTTGTGTACCCTTTGCCAGCACTGATTAAGGGAAAAGAGCTGTGACGGCCCATTAATTTGAAACGCTAGCTAGTCAAAATTATTTCACATGCTACGAACTCAAAAGTGACGATCACGGACAGCTTACAGATGAGAACTTGATACCGAAGGTACATGTATTTTTTTTGCATGCCATATATATATATATATCTTAATAGATGCAATTTACATAGAGTTTATATTTTGAATCAATATTTTTCCTGATATATACTAGATACACTTTATTAACGGTATGCTACGCGACGCTACGTCTTTGATAATAAATTATGTAGAAAATATTTCTCCTGTAAACTAGTTACAATGACAGTCAGTGCAGGTATTCAGTTGAGTCTTATATGAAAGGGAACAACAAAGTATTAGTGAAAGATACCGGTTGAAGCCGGTTATAAACTTTCTTCACAGACTACTCAGGATATATCATCAGGATTACAATATCCAGAATTACTAGAGATTGAAAAGAACTTCCTTTGTACTATTTTAACAATACGATGAAAGAATGAAACCAACAGAAGCGTGACTCATTAAATACTTTTTGATGCCGTAATCAAGTTAATTTTATCCAGTTTTTTTTTTTAGAATTCAAACTTTGCCATAATTAATTGAGGTAATTATGGCAGGTACATACTCCCTTAAACGAATTCTTTAAAAAAAATCCTGGTACAGAAAAACACAAGATAAATAAAAAACGTGATGGCGTCATTACGTTGCCATGGCGACTCCAATTGTAATAAAACCCAGATCATAAGAAATTTTCATCTTTATATAATACAGTTATGGTAACCTTTTTGCCATATCTTCACCCATGGCGACGTAGTTAATGCTCAAACTTGGGAGGTATCCCCCCTAAAAAATCCAGACGAGCCAGCTTAAGGCATGATGAATACACGATATACCCCTCGACGGATTTTAGACGGGAATATAAAGAGGAAAGATTCTTCGTTAGAAATAGAGTACAAAAAGCATACTTAGATAAAGTTTACATTCTCTTAAAGAAACCTTTAAAAGATGTTTTTATTATTTAAACCTTTCTAATTTGTTGAACTGTTGTAAAGTTTGTTTTGCATGACGTATCGGCAATGTTTCCTCATGGTTTCCATCTCGCAAAATCACCAGAGATGAAAACACTTCAAAACAACCTTACTAAAACCATATTCAACCCAACTATTTTAAAAATGAAAGTTTTCATTTTGCTTCTTCGTTATTCTGCAACATATGATTTACAAGAAAAGAATGACAGTTTCCGCGTCAATTTCATCCGTTAATGCATATGCATGTGAAAATTTCATTCGCTTTAGGGGGACAAAAATGCTCAATAGATGATATACTCACTCGATTGGCTTAAAGCGCCTCCAATCAGGAACATTGCCGCAAAAAACACAGTCACTGATGATCTCTTGCCGGAAGCCATCTTCAGCTCTGAACGTTTTGCTGTGAAACCTCAGTTAAGCGGGATGACTTGATATAAGTTGAATGCGGTCAACTGAACAAACCGAGATATTAATAGGCGCCAAGCTTATTTGCATTGCCTTGGGCTTATACTTGGTTGATCGACGCTGGATCAGAATGTTGCTTTTAAGAAAGGAAGTGGCATCCAGGAAATCTCCGGAAGAAACCCAAAAGCATTAAAGACCGTATTATTCCAACCACTAGACTTTTTAAACACGGAAATTTTTCTTCGGAATAATCAGTACACTAGCATTGCGAAGCAAAATCTCTGTACAGAGGAATTCGATTAAGTGTCAAAGTATAACTGTTCGAGCATAACTGAACAATGCTAGCCTTTATACGCAGGCAACAGAATAGATAAAAAAGGAAAAAAATGTCACCAAATACCACGGAACATCATTTGTATTTGAATGGGCAATCTAAGAATTCCTTATCAACAACAGAATCGCTTAACTTGCACACTTAGACATGCGCATGAGAAGTGATTATTGATTGCGCAATCTGTCATCATGGCAACTGACCCTCGTTCAAAATAAATAAAGTGAGCTCCAGTTGTGATATGATCTTCTTTACTATTTAAGTGCTCAACACTTCAATGTAGAAAATGCATCACAAACCTGTGATCTTTCTCAAATTATGAATCCACCATGTGTTTTTCTCTTTATTCATGATCTACCGAGTCTAACATGAGTTTCAATATGAAATGTGAACGGAATATTGATTTTCCTGATGGATTCACCCATCGATTATTTTGAATCATTTGCAAACTGAACTGGGTTGGCTAACTAAGAATAGTTAAACATTGTTCACTGGAATCTATTTTTGACTGCAGATTTTAACAACTGACTAGAATGCAAATTATCTCCGGTACGGAGTATAGGAGATAATGACTTTCTACGTGTTATTTCTTGGGCATTTTGGTATTATCACCCCTTATTGGTGTTAGTTAATTATCTATTGTGCTATGTAGCTATATATATTTGTTAATGTATGCTGTTTGTCACTCTCGCTCCAGTACGCTGTACCAGGCAGATAATTTTTTTGTTAGGCACAAGAAGACGCAAGATGCCCCTTCCGGGACAAGTTGCTCCCGATTTGCGAGAAGAAGGTTCTTCTAACGCTGGTTCTGATGGTTTTCATTCTTTAGTGCAGCAGGCTGTAGCTGATTCG